CACGTGTATCCTGCCTGGCACCACAACTGCTGGCTGCTTCACCCTCAGCTCTGCCAGACCATACATCTCCTTGACCATCGTCAGCAACCCTCCAGTGCCAAGACCACCTGCCTCGGAAGCGATGGCTGCTGTACACCTCCCCCCCCCCCTGTTGCTCAAACCTGGGCCTCCGCGTCGCTGCTCCTGCCAGCCGTCAGCCTGGTCTCCTGGAACAGCACCGCGTCGCAGCACTGCAATTCCCTCACCTCCATGCACCTGTCGAAGTTGCTGAAGGCGTTGAAGTTGAGGGTGGCCCCCTGCCACTCCTCGCCATGCTTCTCGCGCCCACGGCGCCAAAGCAGCTGCGTTTTACGGCGTCTGCCAGCACCGCAGCGAACCCTCTCATTGACGTGCTCGCCGCAGCTGGGTCTCCGAGGGGGCGAAGGGGGCGGGCCCCTGGTGCTGCTGCGCCAGGGCGGCGGGCCCTCTCGCCATTGCCCGTGCCCTCCTGTGGCACAGGGGGCCTCGCATCCGCGTCCGTAGCCCCCTCAACTTGAACTGGCTCGCCTCCGCGATTCCCTGCGGCGGCCTGGCTGGACATCAGAACGCCATTCCCACGCGCGCGGGGGAGAACCTCGGGACCGCATCTGTCCTCTCGAACCTCGGCCCCAGCGCTCCAAGGCACCGCGAAGCTGAAGTCCCGCAGCTGCTGCCTGACTTCCTGGGCCCACTGGGGCGGCGCCAACCCGAGCCTTGGACCCTCCAGCACCACGTAGAGCAGCGCGTTGCCCTTGCCGCTGCCTCTTCGCCGGTCGGGTGTACTCCTGATGCAGCACCTCGATGTATCGCTTATGTTTGTCTGGCTGGGTGGCTTCATCAGGCGCTGCAGCCGCGCCTGCAGGCCATACCTCCTCTTCCTCTGTGAAAGGTGGGGCCTCCTCATCCACTGCCATCGCAGGCGCCGCTGGCTCACCTCCACTTCCTGGCGCCCCCCCAGGGGCAGCTGCTGGCTGCCCTGGGCCCCCGGGGCGGCGCGGCGTCGCCCCCGCCGGCAGCGGGCGGCTCACCGCCAGGAGCTGCAGCCACCTCCTCAGCAGCCTTCCGCCCCAGGTCGGCCGCCAGCCAGGCGAGGACCACCGCCAGCCCAAGCTCCTCGAGGCCGGCGCCCACTCGGCCTGCAAGGTGGACGCACTGCACTCGGAGTGCGCCCACATCGTTGGCGACGCCTCGGCTCGGCCCTTCGGCGGCGACGCGCGCCTGGACCGCGACCTGGCACGCGCGAGCCGCCTCCTCGGCCTGCTTGGCCTCCAGCGCCTTGGCGCGCGCAGCCTGGGGCGCCGCCTGGCGCCGCTGCCCCTCGGCCCCCGCTGCCATCAGCGTGGGCGCCGCCTTCTCAGCCCGAAGATTGACCTCGCGAAGTTGCGCTGCCGCGGGCTTGGCGCGGTCCCGTGACTCGCGGGCTGTCCGCAGCTGCGCCTCCACATCAGCGAGCACCTCTGCCAACGCGCCCGACGAGCAGTCGCAATCCGCCTCGAGCCACTTCTTCTCGCGCAACCATGTCTCGACCTCGCTCCGCCCTTTGGCCCAGGGTCGCGTGCTCTCCTGGCCCGCTCCGGCAGCGGCCTTGGCCGAGGTGTACTCCAGAGCCTTGACCTTCGTCTGGAGGGCCCTCTCACTCTCCTCAGCCGCCTTGAGCTTCGCCGCCAAGGAGACCGTTTGCTGCTTCGCGCCTGCTCCAGCCGCCGACCAGGTCCCTCTTGCGCGCGGCGCTTGGCAGCGAGGATCACGGCAGCGAGTGCGGAAGCCGAACTGGTCGCCCAGTCCACACCGCGTACACTGCCACGTCGGGCCATCGGGCGCACCCCACATGCTGCCCGCCGTCCGCGACCTCGTGCCCGCGTCATTGCCCGTCTGGAGCACTGGGGCGCGCTGGCGCCTTCCTGCGCGCCCGCCGCCAGGCCCGTCGCCGCCCGCCATCCGCGCGCCCCTCGCGCCGATGCGAGCCCGCGAGGGGCCCGGCACAGACCAGTGCTATCCCTGTCTGCCTTGGGGCTGGAAGCCCCCGAAGCAAACATCTCGGGCCAAAATGGCTACGGAGGAGGAGTGGGGGAGGAGGGAAAGGAAGGAGGGAATGAGGGAGGATAGACGATTATTCAACAGGAAAGGGAAGGGACGGGGAGAGTCACGGAGGATGGAGACTGCAAGGAGGAAGAGAAGGATAATGATGGGGGAGGGGCGGCGGAGGGTGGAGAAACGACGACAAAGAAAAACGCCTGGAGTGCAATGCGGATTTGAAATCAATGTGGCGGAAGGTCATTCAGAATAGTTTGCGATCGGTTTTTGCCCACTCCGAAACACATGCGAACGTAGCGCTGGTGGAGCCCGCCTAAATGTTCTGGATTATGGACGCACCAATTTGTTCAAACGCCTGCACCTGGCAGTCCCCTCTCTTGGCTGAGAGCGCGAGCATTGACATAGGAGACTGCATATTCTTGACCTCGTCCGAACCAGCGTAACTGAACGGGACAATCATTCATAAATATATATATATATGTATGAATGTGTATATACTTATAACTGTGTGTGAATATATATGTATCACGAGCAAAGGCACGGTCATGTTCAGGATGCGGACCTTCTTTTTGTGACGGTGGAACTTCCTCGTGCCGACCGCGTGCTCAGCCTCATCCGACGCGAGCTCGGCCGGAGCGTGCGCACAGGGCACGCTGGCCCACGCGGCATCTTCCTCTTTTGCCCAGACAAGCTGAACGACTGAACCCCGAACCTCTTGAACGTACGTAGCAGAGGACTCCGTAGATCGAGGTACCGCCGAATTCGACTTGGTCATGGGTTGGCCGTCGCGGTAGGTTTGTCAAGTTTGATGCACCGCTTTGCCCACATGCACCGCACAGCCCTGGAAGTATTGAACTTCTCGTGTGTCGAAATCCGCTCGCCGAAACAAGCGCCGACAACGGCCTGAGGCATCAACTGTGTCCGATCAGAGCGGGTGTGCTTCTCTGGGGTGTTGGTCAGGTCGATGGTTTCTGTCATCCATCTGGCCTTCCTATTATGTCTGTCGATGCGTTTGGTCATGAGCTTGCTTACTTTGATTTTTTTTTTTGTTGTTTGTTTTCCTCCCGCGGCGACCACATCATGCCCAGGCACTACGGCAGCTACTACGCCAACAGCCTATGCTATGCTGTGGGTCCACGGTCAGACAGGACTCAAAAGTAATGAGTTCCCCTCCCTGCGCCGGCCGCAGGCCAGAGGAGTCAAAGGGGAGGAGGAGGAGGAGGACGAGGAGGCCAGAGGACGGACAGTGGCGGTGTGTGTGTGTGCGCACCAAACCCGATTTATGGTCCCAGCGACCACTTATATAATGAGGCGACACACAACGACTCTATAAAGGATGACGCACAGCTTGCCTACTTTGACTCTGGCCGAGTTCTTGGCTTTTCGTAAATGTGCCCTCTCCAAATTCGTAAGTCTGGCAGGGCGCTGTCGGTTGTCATCCAATAAGCCCAAGGCAGCGTCAACGTTACCATTGTCTGCGCGGCCGCCGCCGCCGCCGACGTCCACTCCATTGCCTGAGACACGGAGGGCTGCGTCAACCTTTTCGTTGCCTGACTGGGGCAACTCTGGCTTTGACGTTGAATGCCTCGAGCACGCGGCCACGGTGGGAAGGAGAGGCAGGAGGGAGAGGTAGAAAAACACACAACGGTTTGTCCCAATCTGAAGTAACAGAGGTGTGCGGGGTGGTAGGGAGAGATCAAGGCTGCATGCCCAGATAAAGCCTCAAGGATATATCAGGGTTCATCTCTGGGTTTATTTATACCAGGGTTTATCTCAGGGTTTACCTTAGGGTTTATCTCCGTGGGGCCATATCAGGTCTTATCTCAGGGCTTATCTCAGGGATTTCTGGCAGGGCTTGTCTTCGTGGGGCACGATACAAAAACCGAGAGGAAAGCTAACTATTCACTTGTGGCGAGCCAAGTTTCTCAATAACTGAATTTATTTGAATAGCCACCATCACCATCATCACCGCCACCACCACCCCCATCATCACTACCACTATCATCACCACCACCATCACCATCACCATCACCGTCAACATCATCATCACCATCATCATCACCATCATCATCACCATCATCAACACCATCATCATAATTGCCATGCTCCTCATCGACGTCGTCGACTTTGTCGTCGTCAACGTCGTCGTCGTCGTCGCCATCGTCATCGTTATCGCCAGAAGCAGCTGCCTTCTCCCCCTCCTCCTGCATCTGACGATCCTCCTCCTTCTCCTCCTACTCTTCCTTCTCCTCCTCTTCCATCGTCTCCTCCTCCTCCTCCTCCTCCTCCTCCTCCTCCTCCTCTACCTCCTCCTCTTGCTGCAGGGGCTTACCTCATGCCCGTGCCCCGCCAGCTTGGCGACATAGTGCGCGGGCGACCTCAGGTCGCGCAGCAAGATGTGGCCGTCGCAGCCGGCGGTGAACAGCAGGCCCTCGTGCCAGGCCATGCAGCCCACGCGCCCACGGTGCCCCACAAGGCTGCGCACCGCGCGCGCGGAGGAGGCGTCCCAAATTTGCACCTTGGGCTCAAGGACATGTGCCCTTCTGCTCGAAATCTGGGTCTCCTAACTTTCGCACTTTGTGCTGCGCGATCCGCGAAGCGTAGTCAACTTCGCGCTATCGCGCCGCCCCTATGGAGAAGAGCAGCTTCCCAGCCCAGACCGCGAAAAGCGAAGCGATGTCCGCGCTCCCGCGGGTTGGAAAGCAACCCTTCAGCTTGGTATCGCCGAGGCGCTCCGATCTGTGCGTGCTCCGCCGGGCTCTGCTGCGGCTCAAGCAAAATCCCTTTTTCCCGAAAGAATCCCCCCCGCGAAGGCTGCCCGTTGGCTCACCAGTGTTCGGATCAGAAGTGGCCGACCCGGCAAAATCCAGCTCACAGAACAGAGCGTCACTATGAGGTTCAGCTGATGAAGTACCCTGTGCCTCCGAGTTCTCTGCAGAAGAGCACCATCACAGGACAAGGCCTGGAGGAGGTTTCGGATCCAGACTCACCTCCCCCGCGAGCGTGCCCACCGCTAGGCTCGAGCAGACCGCAGCCGACCACTTCACTGACTGGACAACGTCCGCCCCCCGCAGCTGCACAAGCCTGGAACTAATGCGGGTCTTGGAGCTCCACAGGTCGACCGCGCTGCCAAGGCCCACGGCGAGGTCGTCGGCAGCGGCGAAATCCAGGAGGGTGGAGTAGTAGTCATCACGCAGGCCGTGCGCTTGCAGGACCCTGAACGGATCCTTGGGGAACCTGCCAGATGACTCAAAAATCCTTGGGCGAGAACTGATGACTCGTCCACTCCCCCCGCCCTCGCAAGATCTCCCCGTAATCCCAAAAGCCGCATGGACGCAGGAGGTTCAGCGCGTTTCCTCTTCCATATTCCCTCTTCCCGTCGGGGAGGGGTGTATCACTGTTTCCTGTCAATGTACGCCCCTTCCCAACCCGACCGGCGACAAACCCGGTACAGTGTGGGCACAACCCTCGCCATCCCTGGCAAACAAGATAATGCGAAGTGCACATTGCGGCGAAATCTGGACCGTGCGCGGGCGCCCCGTGAGCACTTTGTATGGTTGTCGCCAGAGACGGCGGGGGTGCCCTCACGTTGTCCGCATTGTGCAGGCCTACCATCCCTGTATCGTCGTCGTCGTGGTCGTTTGGGGTCGGCGGCGCCGGCCGTAAAGCCTCTCCAAAGCACTCCGCGGCAAAATCTGAACTTTGCGCGGGCGCCCCGTGAACACGTTGCAGTGGTTTTTGACAAAAACGGCGGGAAGACCCTCAAACTATCCGTTCTGCGCAGGCCTAGCATCCGTGTCAAAACAAAACAAAACATACACTGTGAGGCAAGGCTGGTTCATGCCTGGGCACCCCGCAATGATTTTGCATCTGCTTTTAACGAAGGGGCGACGGGGTGGCGCCCTCATATTGACTTCTCTGCGCAGGCTGAGGATCCCGAACAAAAGCCATACAAAGTGCACATTGCCCATAACATCTGGATCATGCGCGGGCGCCCCGATATCGTTTCCAATGTTTTTTTTTTTTCAAAGGCACGGCAGACGCGCCCTCACATTGTCCGTTCTGTGTTTCCGACAGAACTCGTGAGCTCAGTGGGATCAGGGCCCCAAGCTCGGAAGCTGCCTATGTGCTGGGAAGGCGGGTGGGAAAGAGCGACACGGCTTGCGGCTTCCCTCCCCCGCACGAGCGACAGCAGACCCGGGCCCATGCGCCCCCCCTCACCAGCCCTGTCAAAAAACGATTCAAATACACTTTGCTTCCAAATCTGGAGCATGCGCGGGCGCCCCGCGATCAATTCGCAATTGTTCCCAACCCTCATGCGTTGGGTTTTCGTTTTGAATAGAGCCCTGTGGTCGCATCCTCGTGCCTCCCGCCTCCCTCTCCCCTTCTCTCCTGCCTCTCACCTCGTTCCTTTCTGCGTGCTAGCTTGCCTCCTACCTGGCCATCCCTGGGGGGCTGCGATCCGCGAAGCTCCCGCCACCCTCGAGAGCTGCCGGGGGGGGAGCCAGCGGAGTTTGGTCCCACACAGATTCAGATATGACTTAATCATCCCTGGGGGCTGAGACCTGCGAGACCGTCGCCACTTTCGAAGGCTGCTGGGGGGGTCCAACGGAATGGGGTTCCACGCAGATTCAGATTAGACCTCGCCATCCCTGGGGGGCTGCGATCTGCGAAACTGTCGCCACTTTCGAGGGCTGTTGGGGGGGTGCGCAAATCCAGATTCGACATCGTCGTCCCTGGGGGGCTGCGATCTGCGAACCCGTCGCCACTTTCGAAGGCTGCTGGGGGGGGGGGGCAGCGGAGTGGGGTCCTATGCAAATTGAAATTCGACCTCGTCGACTTTGGGGCTTGCGATCTGCGAACCCGTCGCCACTTCCGAAGGCGGTTTGGGGTCCAGCGTGCGACGTCCTACGCAGCTGCACACTCGACCTCGCCATTCCTGGGGGGCTGCGGTCTGCGCAACCGTCGCCACGTTCGAAGGCTGCTGGGGGTCCAGCTCAATGACGTCCTACGCGGATCCAGATTACACCTCCTCATCCCATCGGGGGCTGCGATATGCAAAGCTGTCGCCACGTTCAAGGGCTGCTGGGGGGTCCAGCGGAACGACGTCATACGCAGGTTCAGGTTGGACCTTGTCATCCCTGGGGGGCTGCGATCTGCGTGACTGCCGCCACGTTCAAGGGCTGCTCGGTGGTCCAGCGGAGTGACGTCCTACGCAGGTCCAGATTGGACCTCGTCATCCAAGGGGGGCTGCGATCTGTCGCCCTTTTCGAGGGCTGCTGGGGGAGGGTCCAGCGGAGTGACGTCTTACACGGATTCAAATGAAACCTCGCCATCACTGGGGGGCTGCGATATGCAAACCTGCCACCGCTTTCGGGGGTTGCTGGGGGGTCCAGCGGGGTGCCGAATTACACGGGTTCAAACAAAACCGTGCCATTGCTGGGAGGCTGCGATCTGCGAAGATGCTGCCACTTTCGAGGAGCGCTGGGGGGCCCAGCGGGGTGACGTCCTACGCTGGCCTGTTCGACTTCACCATCCTTTGGGGGGGTCTGCGATCTGCGAAACTGGCGTCGCCTTCGAGAATTGCTGGGGGGTGCCAGCGGAATGACGTCCTACGCAGATTCAGGCTCGACCTCGCCATCCCTGGACGCCCGCGATCTGCGAAACTGTCGCCACTTTCGGGGTCAGCTGGGGGGTCTGGCGGGGCGGGGCACCACCCAGACTCATAGTAGACCTTGCCATCCCTGGAGGGCTGCGATCTTCGAAATTGCTGCAACTTTCGAGGGCTGCTGGGGGGTTCTGCTGAGCGAAGCACCACCCAGACTCAGAGTAGACCTCGCCGTCTCTGGGGAGCTGCGATCTGCGAAACTGTCGCCACTTTTGAAGGTTACTCGGTGGTCCCTCGGGGCGCTGCCGCGGGCCGCCCGCATACCTGGCGGCGCGCCTTCGAAAGCTTAGCTCCCGCACTGAAGAATACAGGAAGGAAACAGGGAAGAGGGCGGGCGAGCTAGGCCTTGTGCGCTTCTTGCCATAACAATAAACAGGTTTAATCATTTAGTCGAGCGCCGCGGCGTCATGGCGCAGACAGCATTGCATCTTTATCGTACGAACGACAAGAGCAACACTCTTCGGCCTCCTCCCGTCACTTTCGTCGTCATCCTCTGCCCCCTGCCACCTTTCCTCTGCTGCTGCCGCGCTGACGGCTCGGCCCCCCGCGCGTCCTTTTACTGCCCTTCGTCCACGTCCCCATGTCCTCCTCACGCCTTGACCCTCGTTCCTCGTTCTTCTGTTGTTGTTTTGTGAATCGCGCCACGTGAGCGCACCCCGTGTAGCTTGCACAGCAAATAACGACGCCAGCACAGTCATTGTCCTGGCATGAATGGGCCAACTCCTCTTGTCACTTGATGCGAACGGGTTGGGTACGTCGCAGGGTCAGTTTCCCAACCCTCCTGCGTTGGGTTCTCGTTTTGAATATAGCACTGCGGTCGCACACCTCGTTCCTTCCTTCTTTCCCGCCTCCTTCCTCCTCACTGTCTTCATCTTGCCTTTTTTACCGTGCCACATTAGAAAGCTGCTGGGGGTTCATATGGGAACAAAAAGTGACATAAACATAAAAACTCAGAGGTCCGCGCGGATTTCTCGGATCGGCGCTGGACCCCCCTGGCGGCGCCTCCGGCGCCGCTCCTGGCGCGCTCCGCGCGCCAGGGAGGGGGGTCCAGCGCCGATCCGAGTTCCCCTAGTTCAGCAGGGTGACGCACCACCCAGATTCAGATTAGACCTCGCCATCCCTGGGGGCTGCGATCTGCGAGACAATCGCCACTTTCGAAGCTGCTGGAGGGTCCAGCGGAGTGAGGCACCACCCAGAATCAGACTAGACCTCGCCATCCTTGGGGCTGCGATTTTCGAAACATCTGTCATTTTCGAGGGCAGCCAAGGGGTCCAGCGGAGTGAAACACAACCCAGATTCAGATTTCACCTCGCCATCCCTGGGGGCATGCGATCTGCGAAACTGTCGCCACGTTCGAGGGCTGCTGGGGGGGCGGAGTGAGGCACCACCCAGACTCAGATTAGACCTCGCCATCCCCGGGGGGCTGCGATCTGCGAAATTGTCGACACTTTCGAAGGCTGCTGGGGGTCCAAAGGAGTGACGCACGAGACGCACGAGACAAGCTCAGATTTCACCTCGCCATCCCTGGGGGTATGCGATCTGCGAAACTGTCGCCACGTTCGAGGGCTGCTGGGGATCCTAGCGGAGTGTGGCACCGCCCAAATTCGGGTTCGATTTCGCCGTTCCTGGGGGGCTGCGATCTGCGAGCCTGTTGCCTCTTTCGAAGGTTCCTGGGGGGTCCAGCGGATGCACCGCCCAAAGTCAAATTACACCTCGCCATCCCTGGGAGGTCGCGATCTGCAAAAGCGTCGCCACTTTCGATGGTTGTAGGGGGTTCAGCGGACCGAGGCACCGCCCGGACTCAGATTAGACCTCGCCATCCCTTGCGGGCTGCGATTTGCCAAACTGTCACCACTTTCAAGGGCTGCTGGGGGGTCCAGCGGAACGAGGCACCACCCAGACCCAGACTAGACCTCGCCATCCCTGGGGGGTTGCGATCTGCGAAACTGTTGCCACTTTCGAAGGTTGCTGGAGGGTTCAGCGGAACGAGGCACCACCCAGATTCAGATTAGACCTTACCGCTCCGGGGGGCTGCGATCTGCGAAACTGTCACCACTTTCGAGGGTCGCCGGGTGGTCCAGCGGGGCGCCGTCGCGGGCCGCCCGCAGACTTGGCGGCGTGGCTTCGAAAGTTTAGCTCCCGCACTGAAAAATAGAAGATGGAAACAGGGAAGCGGGCGGGCGAGCTAGGCCTCGGTCGCTTCTTGCACAATCTATGAACAGGATTCATATTTTTGTCGAGCGCCGTGGCAACATGGCGCAGGCAGCATTGCATCTTTAGCGTACTACCGCTAACACTTTTCAAAAATCACACTCTTCGGCTTCCTCCCGTCACTTTCGTCGTCGCCCTGCCCCCTGCCCCCTTTCCTCAGCTGCTGCCGCGCTGACGGGTCGGCCCCCCGCGCGTCCTTCTCCTGCCTTTAGTTCCCGCCCCCATGTCCTCCTCAAGCCTGGGCCATCGCCCCTCGTCATTGCATTGTTGTCCTGTGAATCGCGCCACGTGAGCGCACCCCATGTAGTTTGCACAACGCATAACGGCGCCTGCACTGTCAGAGTCCTGTCAAATTTGG